AGGAATGGTTTTCTTGCTCATCTTCTATTAATATAGCAAATAAATCCTTAGGTCTATTTTTTGACATCTCTAGTTCTCTGCTTCAGCTTATTTCTTGAAGGTCTTTATCCAGACTTCCAAACCTGCAGGTGAACCTTGGCACCTACATTCATTTAGGCACCCTAATAATAGTGTCTTGCTGTCATACTCCTGCTGACATCATCAGGAGGTAAAATACAGCCTCCATGCCAGTCTTCACTTGTTGGTATGCACCTACCCCCAGAGAATCCTATCTGCAACTGGGCTTGTGCTCTGCTTCTCAGCTCCTTGACCAGCCTTTTGTCCACTTAGGAAACAGTTTCAAAGCTGCTCTCCTTTGCCAGGTGCTGATAGTATCTGATGAAAGACTGAGCAATAGATAGTGTTTAAGTCCACTGTGCAATAGTGCTCAAAAAGTGCTCAGGCAGCTGAGCAGGCTTAGAAGTAGAGCACTTGAAAATCAAAGCTGGTTCAGTGCTATACAGATGCAGTATAAAGCAGCAGGAAAGGCAGCTCACACAGAGGTAGCGCAGACACTACAGGAATAACAAGTTGGGGACTGAATAAAGGCAAGGGAGCACGGCAGAAGTCAGAGGTAACGGTGGTCAGGGCAGCATAGGAGAGAGAAGAGCATTAGCAGCTGCCGGGAGATATAGCAGGGGGCACCGGAGAAGGGGTGCCGGTGGGGAGGGTGGAGGTGAATGGTGCTGTGTAAAGCCCACGGGGAGGGGTCCTGAAACAGGGAAGTTGGAATATAGGGGCTGAAATTAATCTAAAGAAGGCAGTTGAAGAGAGCAAGGTGTAAAGGAGACTCTTCTTTTTCTCAAATGTTTTCCGCTTTGGGCCAATTTTTCTTCTTTTCCAAGAAGGAGGTTTCCTTCCCCAGAAGGAAAATAATAATTCTTCCCCAAAGTTCCAGGTTAGAAACGAGAGTGTCCCAAAGACATCACAGGGACAGGAGGGAGGTAAAACAGAGAGCAGATGGGGAACACTCCGTTTCCTTTAAGGGGGGTGGTATCAGGGGTCCTTTGAGCTCTCACTTCATCATTTGCTAATAATATCTGCATGTGTAACCATCTGAAACTCAGAGAATTCAATCCCAGTTCCCGAATCTTCTGAACACCTGAAAGAAAGGGATGGAGATCCAAGCTGTGGAATGGAAGGAAAACCCTGTGTTCTGGGGGCTTTTTTAAATGGGGACCCTGCTTTTTCAGTCATGACGAGCACTGCCCAAGTTCAACTGGTAGATTACAGCTGAGAGTTTGTAATTATGGCATGACTACTGCTTTGACCTCGGTCAATTTTTGCTATAATAGTTTCTGCTGTACATAATCTGGGCTGATGCTTAATACCTCTGATAAAACCACTTGTTTGAATGAATTAATGCATTTCTCATTAAATGTGCTTCTCATTACGTTAATCAAATCAAGCAAATCATGCTGGGTGGTTTGACCACTGTAATTAAACTTTCTTTAAAATCCACTCATTTGGCTTTTGATGAGGATTTTGATTAAACTCTTCCAAAATGTCTGGCCCAATATCTGCTGAAGAGGAAAATAAGAGCTTGC